GTCAAGCTCACCAATTCCCCACCTGGTGAAGCCCAATGGCAATCCCCCTTGCACGCACAACACCTTCCCCGCCGCCTAGGGCCACGCCCCACCTAGGACCGGCCCCGCCTCCCAAATACTACCCGCCCGGGTCCTGGTGGCTGCAGCCGCGAGCACCCCCACCCATCACCGCATCCTACTCATTCCAAAGTTGCCTACAACAAACCATTGCCCGTCCCCCATACGTCAGACTGTCCCAAACATGCCTCCTATGCGCCACCCCCATGGACACCCTCAACATTTTGTAATCAGTCAGCTTTCAAATCTTACTCCCAATCCCCCGAAGAGGTCTACCTTCAGCTTTTGATTTGCAGGTGTTTTGTCTCAAGTGGGTACCTACAGTGACGGCCAACCAATTGGTGCGCACCTTCTAATTTGATGATACTTGTTATGTGCTCATAAGGTCAACATCTTTTGCGGCTGCAGCCGCGAGCACCAAGCTCAATTGGTACCTTGCACCCTCCCCAAACAACATGTCAATCACCACTCACCCACGTCATCAAACTCTGGTTCCTTGAACCAAGTTGACACCTGCCTCATACTAGTAAATGCCGCACTTATGTACCTCCCAACCCTGCTATATGCCAACACGTCGGCATTTCTTGGGCTTCCTCAGAATGTGACCAAATCTTGTGAACAGCACCTGCCCCTAGCCATGACCTACGTTGGAAATGCATTCAAACAACAAAACCCACTCAAAATACCAAAGATCAAACACTGCTTTGCGGCTGCAGCCGCAAGCACTAGCTACGGGACGGAGTCCCGTAGCCCCCCGTGACAGTACGCTCCGGACGCATTTTGGCCCAGGAGCGTACTGCTCAGCCTCCCTGCGCCCTGAGCCCTCCAAAACAGGACGCAAAATGTGCTATTTATCGCCTGAGGCGATAAATAGGACATTTTGCAAAGACTCTAGACACTCACTGAGTGGCCCTGCGTCCCAATTATTGCCTGAGGCGATAATTGGGACGCAAACAACTAATTTCGATGCATGATCACAAGCCAAGAAGGCCTATGTCAGGTGCATTGGCCTATTGCACGCAGTGCAGGACCAATGCTACATGAGGATAATATGTGAAAAAGCAGGTAGTAATGCTACACGTGTGTGGATAACACAGATATGTCACGTTTGTGACACCTGTGTGAATTGTTGTCAACATTCCAATGGAGGCGTGAAACCCGCTTTGTGTGTATGGAGTCATCAATGTATATGTCAGTACAAGCAGTGGAACGACCATCACATGACCCAATATATCCATGTAACCACTGACATGTATACCTGTCCCATGCAGGCCACTGCAGTTCGAACCCTGTTTACTTCATTTTTGATCCACGACGTTGGCAGCGTACAGTTACAGGAGCAACCCTAAGACATGTGTACAAACCTAACTTGCACAGCAGTTGCTGCAGCAAAACCTAACATGATGATAAAGAAATAGTATAAAGTCTGGTCTCAGTCTTGATTTCGAAGAAATCCAATTCCTACTTCCTTCTTAACACTTCTATATCAATATCAGGTTACTACAAACGCTAAAAACCCGCCCCGCAGACCCGACCCGAGTATCCGACCCAAACCCCGGTACTTTAACCCAAAAACCAAGCAAAATGACTAAAGTGAGCGCAGCGGTTCTTACATATCATTTCTCATACTGTATAAATATGTTCAAACAAGTACATGTTCATATTGAACAAGAAGTGCCTGTTCATTTCTTCGCTTCAAGCAATAAATTGCACACTAGTATCAAAAGCTTTGTGGTTGATAACACAGCGTAACAACGCAACAGATACATAGCCATTATCTACGTGGCTTTCTATCTACAGCGTTCCATTTATCGCCTCAGGCGATAAATGGAACAGCAGACCTTGTTTATGACATACAAGCCATGATATTAGGCTCAATCAACGTGGAGTGTTCCACTTATCGCCCGAGGCGATAAATGGAACAGCAGACCTTGTCCATGAGGTACAAGCCCTGATATTGGGCTCAATCGACGTGAAGTGTTCCATTTATTGCCTGAGGCGATAAATGGAACAGCAGACCTTGTTCATGAGGTACAAGCCCTGATATTTGGCTCAATTGACGTGAAGTGTTCCATTTATCACCTGAGGCGATAAATGGGACAGCAGACCTTGTTTGTGAGGTACAAGACCTGTTATTATGCTCAATCTACGGTGTCCCATTTATCGCCTGTGGCGATAAATAGGACAGCAGACCTTGTTTGTGAGGTACAAGACCTGTTATTGGCCTCAATCAATGTGAAGTGTTCCATTTATCGCCTGAGGCGATAAATGGAACCTCAGCTGACAACGCTGGGTCATTTACATAGAGTACTTGCTGGCCGTGTTAATGAGGAAACCTGTCCTAGTTATCGCCTCTCGCGACAAATGGACCAGTAACATATGATAGTAGATGATGTCTGACACATTATGGCCTTCCACTTATGATTGCACAGGCAGCTGAGGTAGCGAAACAAAGAATATTGCTACAAAAGGCTAGGCAACCCAACGAGGCGGATACTGCCCGCACCAGGAGTGAAAGATACGGACGCCATCCCAACGCTGGAGCTCTGGCTTCAGACCCAGTAAGTTGACATTTGTCTATACACATATCAATCACGTGTACTGAAAGAACATGTCACATGTAACAGGTGAAAGGTACCAGTAGTAAATCAGCCAAACCAACTGAGGAAGATGTAAGCAGCCCACTTCAACTTCAATTATTATCAACCTCACACTTTCATTTGTGATCACAGGATTCGAATGGCGAAGCTATGATCCCCGAAACACCAACACCCGCCTCGCGCAAGGTAATGTCTTAATCTGTAGATACACTCGTACATCAACACTCATGATTGATCTGTCTCCAGGAACGTACAAATGTCCCAGTCATTGAAGCTGACACCAACCCTCCTTCCAAGGTAAGTTTAGACACATTATATTCAATCACAAGCTGATGATATGCCTCATGTTCACTAGGAAAAGGATAATGCAGTTGTGGGAATTGAGAATGAGATGGAATCAACTCAGGAGTCAGCATTGGTGAGTAACTGAGTATATATAAGATGAGCAATAGGAGGTACTTATCTTTGATTTGTAATAGGACGATACGATTATGGATCAATCCAATGATCCATCCCAAGCTGATAAAGACATTATCGATAGTCTTACTTTCAAGAAGAAACAGGCCGATGATCCAGTAGTAAGTTCTCCGCTTATTTGAAGTAGATTGTAAGTGATCTCATGTATGACATCTAGGGTCCCTCGAGTGCCACTCAAAATATGTGTCGCATTGAAATCAATCGCGCTAGAGAAGAATATCAGTGTGGTAAGCTTTTTGTATCTAACACATCCACAATCCTTGAAACTGATACATGGGGTTATTGGTATTTGTATAGTGAAAGATTTATACGATACCACACATGAAAAGGTGATGAAGCTCGAACAGAAAGCGCGTGATAGAGCTATCGACAAGGCCCTATTAATATCAAGGGCCTACCTTGAGAGTCTTGAACAGGACATGAGGGATAACAAGGCGTCTTACCTCTCTGCGTTGTCTGGAAACCATCCGGAGGTCATCTTCGTACCAGCTGCTCCAACTTTGCCTGCTCCAGTCACCCAGGCCAACCCGATTCGATCTATCCCTGTAGCTAAGAAAAGAAAAGCTGGAGAAACAAAGGAAGATGGTTAGTGAATGTACGAATCTGTATGCAATCATTATGTGGATGACTGACTCATGTGATTTGTCAGGCCCTGTGAAACACGCTCGAGCCAATGATCCTTCAGTTTATTTCGATCTAGAAGCTAGAGTATCCAACAAAGAGGCCTTGACCAACATTGGCACCAAGAAGGGTAAGACTCAAATCAAGAGTCACACTACTGTTTCAGCTGAGCTGAATGCCTGGGCTAGTGGCCCTATGAACCCTGGGGCGGAGGTGCAGATGAAGGATGTAGTAGAAGAGAAGAAAGGTAGCAAGAAAAAAGAGAAGGTAGCTGAAGTCCGCGAAGAAGAGAAGGTGGAGACTATGCAAGTGGACGGAAAAAGCATCTTTCATAAAGACCAAGTTGATCTGACTGGTAAGTAATGTTCTTTTCGTTTGTCTTCTTTTCCATCCAATTCTATTTACACCCCCTTCCTCCAAGTTTTCATCTACTTCATGTTCCGATTTTTGCCTCAAGCGATAATTGAAACATTCATCCAGCATATGGATGATATTGCCTTCAGCGGCCTAACTGAATACAGGCTCTGTCCTTTTTCTCGCTTGAGGCGAGAAAATGACCATGAATTTGGTCCCGCGATATAGGGTTCCATGAGGCCTATTGGTCTGTACGCGTGCTATTTATCGCTTCGGGCGATAAAAATGACACAAACAGTATCAATGTTGCCTTGCATGAAGCTACAACCTTTTTGATGTATCATAATATCCTTCTATGTAAACTTCCTGGAGCTAAACGTTCCAAATATCGCCTCGGGCGATATTTAGAACAAGATATCATTCTTTGGTGCGAATAAAATAACTAATTTTTTCTTTTCTTTAACTGCCAGAGCTTCTAATCCATCCAACTCCTGACGAGAAGAAAGAGATGAAGTACATCTTAGACGGAATTAACTCCTCACACTTCAACTGGGGGGAAGTCCTTGCGTTACCTGCGGCCAACATCATTCATACTTGGGAATTCGACTGTGAAGACTTCAATGGTAAACCTGTTATCCATGATCTGGCTCCTCATCTCAACTACATCAAGGCCCTGGTCGAGGATCGTGATCTTATGCTGTTGCGTTTGCAGACATGTAAGTACATCATATCATCCCTGTTTACTCCCTATTGATTAAGCTAATCTTACTTTGAATATGTAGCTCCTAGGTTGATTCAAATATTGTCTCAAGATATGTTGCTCTCACCTGAATGGCTCAACTGGAGCGTTATTCAGCAAAGTACGAACTATCCCTGGGACCAGAAAAACGCCTTGTTTCGATCATTGCATTCGATGACATGCCGAGTTGACCAGTTGCGTGATTGGACCAAACACTCGGTGATCAAGTCCAACATACGCAACGCTCATACGATGTTTCATGAATTGTTGTCTGATAGCGTTAGATTGGTTTCTTTCCAATCAAATCACGAATCTTTTTCGATCCGTACTGAAGGTGAAGATGGAGTCGAAAAGTCTACTGTAGGGATGAGCCGGACTATCACCTGGCTGGTCAATCAATGTACATCTGGTCATAATGATGATGCACCTATCAGACAATCTCGAAATCCTCCGACTACGATGCGAGCATTGCAGAAGAAGTTTTTCTTCATTTTTTTGGGGGTCAACTTGATCTACAAAGCTGAGGTGCATAACTTACTGCTGAAGAAAGCTGAAGTCGAAAAAGTTCCGGTTCGTGAGATCAAATCGATGAAGGCTCTTCAGAAGACAAGTTCTGTGTTGCATCAATTGTTCAATGATCGCAACAAATTTAAATCAGGAAGTCAAAAGTCCATTGCTGGGCCATCCACTCCAAAATCAATCACTGGCCCTTCGAGTGGTCAGACTCCTAGATAAGCTCGAGTCAAAACACCTGAGGAGATGATTGCGGCTCAAACATCACGCGACATATCCGATTTGAAGAAGCAGTGCTTGCTGAATCTGTCTCTATTCTTGTTATATGGTACTGCTGGCCTCTTTCACGCTCTCCCCAACTGGAAAGATCAGAGCATGCCTCAAACTGCTATGATTGTCGCATTAGCGTCATTTATGACTGACCGAAGATTCGAGAAGGTCAAGGACACGCCACACTTGTATGGAATGCGTGCATGGAATCGATTGGACAACTTGATGTTCCAGTCTTTAAACGACGGTTAAAGG